CCGCCCCGCCGCCGTGGCTGCCCGAGCGTCCGCACCGCGGCCGGAAGGGGAGGAGCTTCTCGCGGCTCGCTCGGTGGCGGTGGTACCGGCGTCCGGTCCCTGCGCCCCTTTTCCTCTACATCCCTTTCGGGTCCATTGGCGCTTCCAGGTCCAGGTGTTTTACTTTGCGCCTCCGGGCATCTAGTGCTGTGCTGGAGGCCGGGACGTGGTAACACGGCGGTGCAAAACCCATTGTCTCTGCTCGCAAGGAGTTTCAATTCCTTTGCAGGGGACAGCCGACCTGAATAAGTAAACACACGAATAAATAACTATAAACAGCGGTATGGCTTTGAAGGAAACGAAGGAATAACGAGGAGTTGTAATATAGTTAATTTAGTCAGAGAAGTTCTCAGAAGGGTGACATTTAGCCCAAGACAGGGATGGGAAAGAGCCCAACCAGGCAAAGGCTGGGATAAAAGTGTTGGTCCCACAAAGAAAGAAAAGCTTGTGCAGAAACCTTAAAGGGGGCCAGGTGCAGTGGCTGACGTCTGTAATTCTAGCACTCTGAGAGTCTGAGGCGTGAGGAGCACTTGACGTCAGGAGTTCCAGACCCGCCTGAGCAAGGCGGAGACTTCAGTCTGTACTAAAAATAGAAAAAAAGTAACCAGGTGTGGTGGCCCAGGCCTGTAGTCCCAGCTACTCAGGAGGCTGAGTGAAACAGGAGGATAACTTGAGCATTGCAGCGAGCTATGATGATACCACTGCGGGATAGGGAGTGTGACAGATAGAGACCCTGTCTCAAAACATAAAACCAAACACCTAAAATAGCTTGGGCAGTTGGAGTAATTGAAAGAAGACCCAGTAGGACCAGGGCTGGAAGAAATGGAAGGAGAATGCGAAACTGCCCCTACAAGTTCACAGTGGGGGTGCAAGACCAGAACTGGGGTAAGGGCACGACTAAAAATAAAGCACAGGCCCAACTAAAAATGATAGTGATTAGGCACGGCCTCCCTAACTGCTACTCTAGTTATAGCAGTGGTCGTAGATATTAATAACGTTATCAGTAATACCATCACCTTGTTGAAACCTAGGGGTAGTTTTGGAGATATATTCCAGTAAATTGGCTGACCCACCCAGACCAAGGAAGTGACCCAACTGGTTTTATGATCCTGTCCCCACCCCCAAGCTGCCCCACCCCACTCAAGAGCCTGGTCCTACATTCCAGAAAATTGGCTGAACCACTCAGGCTGGCAGCCTAAGGACTAATGGTTCTGCCCACACCCAATCAATTAGCAGACCCTGATTGCCTAATTCTCTGCCCACCTAGCTGTCTTTAACCCTGTCTCCCAAATTCTCAGGGAGGCAGATTTGAGAAATTCCTCCTGTCTTCCCCCTTAGTGCTATACAGAATAAATTTTCTCTACTATCTCTGGGTATTGGCTTTCTCTTGAACAGTGGGCAATGAAACTGCTTGGACAGCAACAAGTGGAAGGTGAAGAGTTGGGAGAGTTAGGCTGGTGGCAGTTCATTGAGGCCTTTTGGTTATGGAAAGGAATTTGGATTATGTTCTAATGGCAACAGGAAGCCCTTTAACTATCACTCCATTTCCTTCCTTCATCAGGGAACAATAGGGAGAAGAAAAGGAGTACTGAGTCTTGGTGAGTATAGACCTTTTTTTTTTT